CAGAAAGAATATAATTTAAATTGAGCGAAGTCCCTAATCCAGCCTTGCTATTTTGGATTATAGAGACTGTGAAGACTTCAGGCCAGAATATACACAGAATACTCCTGAGAAGAGAACTGTTCTGGATTAGTAAATTAAAAACATGGGCACCATATGGACTTAATGAGGAAGTGGACTGGACTTGCTGTTTGTGATGACTGGACCTGCTCTTTGCATGAAATCTGTACGTTTATGAATTTTTATGAATGTTTGCAGTAGTTGTGAGTACAAAATCCTTCTCTCATCTTCACTTCATGGTTGCTCTTCCTTCTGCCCCTCCTTCTATTTTGCATCTCTCCTGATTGAAATGCACAGTTAATTGGTGATTGCATCACCCTAGTAATGCTATATATGGTGGACAGTATAGTAACCTATACCAGAATTTGTACAGGATGGAGTGACATACATTCAACTCACGCAAATCTATGCTGCCAGGTTAGTAGGCCAATTCAAAATTTCTTGAAATTTTTTTAATAAAAGAAGAATTTCTTTCTGAAAAATATAAATGTATGTAATTTTCCATTCCCTTTTATATTTAGAAGTATTGGTGGACTTTAATTGGCTATACCTGAGGCCTATCATATAAAACAATAATATACATATAAATATATACGGTAATTCTTACTTTTTATATATATTATTTTTCAATTAGTAGTAATGTAAGTACATGGGGAACTATAATGAATTTTTCTTTGTTTCCCTTTCCCCTCTTTTTCTTTCTGTAATCAATATTTAGGATACAACATCTGGCCTGATATTGCATATGTACTTAACATCTGATGTTAAAAAAAACTTTTTTTGAATGTATGTCAAGTTTGTATTTTGGATTGTGACCACTGAGAAAGGTCCTTTGGGGCCGAAACGCGTTTGGTTCAGTTGCACAGCACTAACCCATCTATGTATGTATGTTGAAAAATTTTTCATGTCTGAATGTGAATATTTTTAACGAGTCTAAGTTTTTTAAAAAATGTGTACACCTGAATAAATTTTGTATGTTTATAATATTTAGTGTCAGCTTAACCCTTGTGGATTCATAGGCTCTCCTCTGGAGCCTGCCCTGTCCCTTCCCATCCCAAGGAACCTCTGAGCCTCCCACAGTGAGCTTTGGGCTGTCGCTCCCATTAGCCGCCACCCATGGAAAGGAAGGGAAAGGTCTGTGCGAAGCCGGTCCCTGATCGGCTAGGCTGGGTGGGTGCTGCTGATGGGGCTCCGCCACTGGAGGGGGTGGGCTATGACCAAGGCACCCTGCTGCTGCCGCCTTATCCACTGCCCACAAAAGACCTGTTCTGTTCCCCCCAACAAGGACCGAGGCTATAGCAGTGTCTATCCCGGCCGGCCCTGCCTCTTGCCCTGGAGCAGGATAAGCAGTGCCCACTCATCACCACCATTGTCGGGGGGGGGGTTCCTTTACTTATTATTGTCACTTTAAGCAGTCCGTCATGTGTGCAGGTGCCTCATCACGCAGCGGAGGGGCTGGCTGAGTCTCTTGAGTGGGGCAAGTGCAGGCACTGCGCTGGGGTGTGTGTGTGTGTATGCTGCTGCACCCTGCAGCCCTTCACTACCCGAAGGAGTCTCGAGTGGCTTATCATCTCCTTTCCCTTCCCCAGCAGCGCAGCTGACAAGGAAGGGGGTAGCGTGGCAGCAGGTGCCAGTGGGCAGGGACAGCCACAGGGCCCCTTGGAACTAAGAGGAACGACACCATTAGCTTGCCTTTCCCCCACACGAGGTGCAGAGAATGGCCCACCCTGGGTTTCCCTTTCCACTCTTCTTACTCCTCAAGAGTTAGAGAACTGACATGGGAAACCTGGCATAACCCTCCCATATGCCTATGTCACTTCCAGAAGTGACTTAAGTACCTTGAGGCCACCCCCTTCCCATCAAAAATGTCCTAGCTACAGGGCTGCCCACATACCTGAGGACAAAGACACTGTCAGAATGCTCCTCTTGCCAGTTGTGTTCCTCAATTCCAGTATTAGTGTGAGAATTTGCCTCCCTGCCAGATGTCCCTAGGTTTGGCTTTTCTTTTCTCTTTTTTTTTTGCATGCTCAAATGTCTGAGCATACTCAGTGAAAACTATTGAATATAACTGCAGTAATCGTGCCCTTACTCACTCCCAGAATTGACTAACTGAGACAAGTGCTTACGGGGGGAAATAAAGGCATCATTTCAGTTTATTTTGATATCCTGAAGTAGATGTAAACATAATTGAGACTGGAGAGGATTTGGGGCAATTATCTGGGAGAAGCCATTTTCAAAAAGTAAAGTGGATTGAGTGGGAGAGATTATGTTTAAGTGTTGCAAAATCTGGCAATGAAACAGATGGGGAAACTGCCTGATTTATGTTGCTTTATTAAATTTAAAAGATGCAAAATGTAGCAGTTTCAGATGTCCTGCTGGAATTTGCTGCGTTTCGCCTGGAGATTCCCTTTGTCCACACACAACAAAATCTGACAGCAGCAGAAATCTTGTTTTCACCTGTACCCTTCCCTGGTCTAAGATAGAAAACTCTAGCAGGAGTAGATATCCTGCCACAACTTGTTTCCTTTCTTCCCAGCCCCACTTGCCAGAAATCACCATTCAGTCCAGGGTAGCAAAATCTGGCAAGGCCAAATGTCTCAGCAGAATTTTCTACCTTTCTCCTGTAACATCCCTAGTCCAGAGGCATCAGTACCTAGCAGGGGCACATGCTTTACTAGGATTTAGTGCTTGTCTTTTGCAGCCCCTCCGTTTTCCAATGGAAAAAGTTGGTAGGGGCGGATGGTTGGCTTGAACTTCCAGCCTCTCCAAGTCCAAGAGTCAGATAAACCCAGGAGAGTCACACGTTTTGCCATAAATTGCTACTTTTTACCTGGTTATGCCTTTGGTCCACAGGTAGGAAAATGAACAGAAGGCATTCTGCAAGAATGTTCTGCCTCCTTTCTCTAGCCTCCTATTGCAGTGTTCGCAGTATCCAACCCGATCACTTGCCTTGCTTGAAATAGCTTCCTGCCACCTATAAACCTCTTTCAATCTGGGGGTAACAAAATCCAGAATAGCAAAAACTGTTTATGTACGTACACTTGCATGTAACGGCACAATTACCTCTAGCTTTTACTAGAGGTAATTGGAAACTCTAGTTCTTGACCTTTTCTTTCCAGCTGTATGATACACCAAAATAATAAATCAAAGCCCCCCCCCCCCAAGAAATCCTTCCATACAATGCAGAGGGCTGTATGCTCACTGCCTGTGAGTGTGGATCTTCCCTTGAACACACAGCTGGCAATCATGACCTCCAATCAGTTCTTTTATTTCCCAAACAGATAATCAGTACAGTCCATTCTGTTGATGTTTCCCTTCCCCTCGATATCTCAAGGGATGCACAGTCTTGAGGACTAGATGTGGGGAGGAGCAGCCCTGGTGCCAGTATTTTTGCAGATGTACAGCAGGAGGGAGATCTGCACTTGGAAATAGGATATCTGCTTCCATGTCTGGATTGCCTTGTAGGCACAGAGAGCACGTGTTATCTGTTCTTTCCACTCATTAATCTGGGCAATGGAAAAAGGAGAAGTATATGGGAAATGTTCCTCTTGTCTGTACATTTTCATTTTAGTGCTCAGTGGATCCAGATTTAGCAGTAAAATGGACTTCAGTTTGAAAGCTAGAAAACCATATTTGGGTTATTGATATAAATTGTCCCATTTAGGGTAATTTCCCCCTTTCAGCGTACTTAATAGGCATGCAGGCTGTAGAATTCAAAGGTTTTGTCAGCCATGGAGCTGGCAAAGGAAAGGTTTGATGGGATGCCTGGTGTATAATAGGATCATAAAGAAGGGCGAAGGAGATGGAAGACTGTTGTAACCTAACCCTTGAAATAACTTTTTAAATGCCCTCTGGTTTCTAAATCCTGTGCAGAAACTGTTCATAGCTTTTTTATGTTTTCAATAATGTGACCTCAACATGGCAATGGCTCTTCACAATTAATGTACACTGAAAATTTCAGAAGTCTAAAAACCATACCAGATTTCAGAAGATATTGTGGCCACTCAAAGTTTGTTGTCTTTTGAAAAACGGTCTCTTAATGTTGGCCTACCCCAATGGTAGTTCATTCCTGTGTGGATATATAAGCAGTTACCAATTTGGTGTTTGTATTGTTTTTTAGAGCCATCCTTCCTCCCTGACCATGTTGGACTTGCTTCATGTGGCTCGTGACATTGCTTGTGGCTGTCAGTATTTGGAAGAAAATCACTTCATCCACAGGTAAGCAGGAGCATTTTCTTGTTGAAAGACTGCTGCCTAATGCCCCTGAATGTGTGTCATTATTGGCAACAGGCTGACTAAAGGATGTGTGTGAGAGCAATGCCTGCTGAGGATGTTTGTGCCCTAGAGGTTCAATGTCTCAGAAAATAAAAAAGAAACAAAAGCCAAAGTTCAGGGAGCAAATTTTGTGTCATGTGGAATCCCATGCTTTAAAAAAATTGGGTGACAGCACTAAACACTAATTCCAAAAACATTTTGATACTAAGCTCCATCGGTATAATTCAAAATATTAAACCATTTAAAATAAACACATTCTTTATTAAATGATATGATCAGTCCTGTATACTAGCTTGTTTCATGGAATCCATTCAGAAATTATTTTAGGAAATGGTTCTTTAACAGATTCTTATTCATATTTTGTCTCTATGCTTTGTCCATATTTTATAAAACCTTTTATTAAGCACTCTCCTATAAATACCTGGTTTGACTCTAGTTGCAGAAAAGCTAAAAGGTTAGTGATCCAAAAACAGCATCATTTTAGACAGGTTCATTCCCTGAATTCTTTGCCAGATCTATTGTTGGCAAAACATAAAAACATAAGAACAGGCAATGTTGGATCAGGCCAGTGGCCCATCCAGTCCAACACTCTGTCATACAGTGGCCAAAAATACCAGGTGCCATCAGGAGGTCCAGCAGTGGGGCCAAGACACTAGAAGCGCTCCCACTGTTGCCCCCCCCCGAGCACCAAGAATACAGTGCATCACTTGCCCCAGGCTGAGAGTTCCTATCTATACTCACAAGAATCTGCTTGCGTTAAAAAAAAAAGAAGAGTAGCAATGTGGCACAAATGGGATTAATTGATATTAGCCTCTCAGAGTAAAGACTCAGCCAAATTCTGGGGCTTGGTCTTTGACTCACATCACACGAGCTGGATGACCCCTTGTTGCTATCACTGGTCCCCGTCTGCTGCAAGCTATGCGCCACTGTGCCCCACCACCCGGGGGGGGACTACAGAGGCCTCAGACTATCGGGAGGGAAGGAGGTTACGTCACCACCCTCCGCGCTCCCTCGACTTGGTCAGACAATTCTCTCTCTCTCTCTCTCTCTCTCTCGCAGCTCCTGTCTGTCGTCTTTCCAGTGCCTTCTCATCCGCCTTGGCCTCTGCCTCTGTTCCCCCTTTTATTCCCACTCCGTGTCACCTGTTCTCCCCTGTGTTCCACCCTCCACCCTCCTCCTTGGCCCCACCCCCTCCTCTTATGCAGGGACGCTGAGCTATGGCTGTGGCTTCTGCCCGGCTCCCTATCTCCGCCCCAATGTACGTGTCAGTCCTGCATCTCTTCCTCCCCATGCTCCTCTGGGCCGTGGGTGTGCCGATGGCCCGGCATGGTCCCCTGCTCTCTTCCCGGGGTGCTTCCCCATGGGGCCGGTCGCTTCTCGGGGTTGGCGTTGCCTGAACGATCTGGACTCGCCCTGTCGGGCCCTGGGGGACGCGTTGTTGTCACGGCGGGTCGACCTTGGTCTCCAGTAGTTTCCGGTGTGGTCTGGGCTGGGGTAGCTGGTGGCGGCAGGGTTCCGAGTGGCGGCGGCAGCCAGCCCTGGGGTGGCTCGCCCTCGGTACACACCCCCACACAATGCCGGGACTGGGGACCCTCTTCCATTTCTTTGTGGATCCTTGAGAGGTAGTCGGGCGCTAGGTGATCTTTTCCAGCTCTGTGATGTACTGTAAAACAAAGAGGCAGGAGGGCTAAATACCATCGTAACACCCAGGGGGCGTTGTCCTTCATGCAGTCTATCCAGAGCAATGAGGCATGATCCACATTCAGCCTAAAGGGATTATTAGTGAGGTAAAATTGCAATGCCCTGACTGCCCATTTGACCACTAGGGCCTTCTTCTCGACAGTGAAGTAGTTGCGTTCTGTGGGTTGCAACTTTCTACTAATGAAGAGAATTGGTCGCTCCGTGCCTTCGATGTCCTGCGTCAACACTGCCCCGAGCCTGGTCCCAGAGGCATCGGTATGGAGGGAGAAGGGAAGGTTGAAGTTAGGGTTGTGCAGGACTGGTCCTCATGACAAACTGTCCTGCAGCCATTTGAAGGTGAATGTTTGCGATGTGCCCCACAGGATGGTGTTTGGCCTGGTCTTGGCTAGGCAGTTGAACAGGGGGCTGGCGGTGGTAGCGAAGTGAGGGATGAAGCGACTATAATAGCCAACAAAGCCCAGGAATTTCCTTCGCTGTCACTTTGTCCGAGGTGGGGTCTGGGTCTCCAATGCAAATACCTTGTCGGGTAAGGGCTGTAGTTTCCCGTGACCGACTAAGAAGCCAAGATAACGTAACTCTCTGAAACCTATGTGACTTTTCTAAGGGTTGGCTCTGAGACACGCTCGTTTCAACGCATCTAGGACGGCTTGTAAATGTTAAAGATGTGAGGGCCAATCAGGGCTATATATGTCATCAATATAAGCACTTGAAAACCCTTCACATTGGGCTAGTACCACATCAACGAGGCGTTGAAAGGTTGCCGCTGCTCCGTTTAAACCAAACGGCATCCTCTTAAACTGAACGAGACCCCTGGGGGTGGCAAACACCGTCTTTTCTCTATCCTCTTCCACCACCGCGATTTGCCAGTACCCCTTTGTGAGATCTAGGACTGACAAGAAGTGAGTTGCTCCCAGCTGGTCAATGAGGACATCCGTTCAAGGAATTGGGGAAGCATCAAAGGTAGTTAACTTATTCACTTCTCTATAATGAATGCAGAAGCGCACCGTGCCGTCCAGTTTTGGGACCAGGACAATGGGGCTGCGCCAGGCGCTTCATGATGGTTCGATGATATCCAATGCTAGCATGTCTTCCACTTCTTTATTGACGAGATTCCATTGTTTTCTAAGCAGTGGGTGCCACTTGGCTCTGGCCACTCGCCCGGCTGGGGTCCCTATCCGATGAAGGGCAGCAGCCATGAACCCAGGGGTTGCGGAGAATATGTCGACAATCTTGGCCAACACCTGTCGAACCTCTTCCCGTAGGTCGTCTGACAGAGTTTGGTCCAGGACTGGCTCCTCGTGTGGGTCTTCTCCCGCTCCCCAAGGGAACTGGCCATCGAAGGGTTCTGTGGGGTCCCTGGCCAGGTGGACCTCATCTCCGTTGGACACCCTTGTGTCCCCTGGCTAGGGCTCCTGCCTGGCCTGCCACTCTTTCAGGTCATTGATGTGGATGTGCTTGCTCTGGTGCCGACCTGGGCCACACTTGACCTCATATGTGAGGGGCCCCAATGCCCGGAGCACCGTAAATAGCCCCTGCCAGGGGTCTCCGTGCGGTTGGGCCATCACGGCCCTAGACACCAACACTTGGGCGCCAGGCTGGAGGGCATACATCCGAGAGTTCTGAAAGAACTCAAATGTGAACTTGTGGATCTCCTGACAAAATAATCTTTCCTTAAAATCTGCCTCTATTCCTGAGGACTGGAAGGTAGCTAATGTCACTCCCATCTTTAAAAAGGGTTCCAGAGGAGATCCGGGAAATTACAGGCCAGTCAGTCTGACGTCGATACCGGGTAAATTGGTGGAAACCATTATTAAGGAAAGAATTAGTAGGCACATAGATGAACAAAACCTATGGAGGCAGACACAGCATGGGTTCTGTAAAGGAAGATCTTGTCTTACAAACCTGTTAATGTTCTTTGAGGGGGTGAACAAACATGTGGACAAGGGGGATCCAATAGATAGTGTTTACCTTGACTTCCAGAAAGCTTTTGATAAAGTTCCTCATCAAAGGCTCCTAAGTAAGCTCAAAAATCATGGGATAAAAGGACAAGTCCTTTTATGGATCAAAAACTGGCTAATTAATAGAAAACAGAGAGTGGGTATAAATGGGCAGTTCTCTCAATGGAGGGGGGTAAGCAGTGGGGTACCGCAGGGATAAGTACTTGGTCCACTGCTTTTTAACTTGTTCATTAATGATTTGGAGTTGGAAGTAAGCAATGAAGTGGCTAAATTTGCGGATGATACAAAGTTGTTCAGGGTGGTGAAAACCAGTGAGGATTGTGAGGCACTCCAAAGGGATCTGTCAAAGATGGGCAAGTGGGCGTCAACATGGCAAATGGGGTTCAATGTGGCCAAGTGCAAGGTGATGCACATTGGAGCCAAAAATCCTAAATATAAATACACGTTGATGGGGTCTGAACTGGCAGAGACTGATCAAGAGAGAGATCTTGGAGTTGTAGTAGATAACTCACTGAAAATGTCGAGACAGTGTGTGACTGCAATAAAGAAGGCCAATGCTATGCTGGGGATTATTCGGAAGGGTATTGAAAACAGATCAGCCAATATCATAATGCCCCTATATAAATCATTTGGAATACTGTGTGCAATTCTGGTCACCACACCTTAAAAAGGATATTATAGCTTTGGAAAAAGTGCAGAAAAGGGCAACTCGAATGATAAAGGGGTTGGAACACTTTCCCTATGATGAAAGGTTAAGGCGCTTAGGGCTCTTTAGCTTGGAGAAACGACGACTGAGGGGTGACATGATTGAGGTTTATAAGATTATGCATGGGAAAGAGCAGGTAGAGAAAGAGGTACTTTTCTCCCTTTCTCACAATACAAGAACTCGTGGGCACTCCATGAAATTGCTGAGCGGTCGGGTTAGAACGGATAAGAGGAAGTACTTCTTCACCCAAAGAGTGATTAACACTTGGAATTCACTGCCACAGGAAGTGGTGGCGGCTACAAGCATGGACGGCTTCAAAAGGGAATTAGATAAGCATATGGAGCAGAAGTCCATCAGTGGCTATTAGCCACAAGGTATAGATAGGGACTCTGGGGCAAGTGATGCTCTGTCATCTTGGTGCTTGGGGGGGTCAACAGTGGGAGGGCTTCTAATGTCCTGGCCCCACTGGTGGACCTCCTGATGGCACTGGTATTTCTGGCCACTGTGTGATACAGAGTGTTGGACTGGATGGGCCTTTGGCCTGATCCAACATTGGCATCTCTTATGTTCTTAGGGTC